TGTAATTTACTTTTTTTGGAAAATAAAAGTAATATTATATTTTATGCATAAAAGTTAAGTTAATTATATAATAAAAAAATTTATTTCACAATTAATACAATGATTATGAATGCGTTAGATTTTACATAATCCTTGTATTCAACCATATTAATTAACATATTTTATATAGCTTATAGATTATGCAAAAAAGTATTAAAAAATTTATTAATATTTTATCAACTAAGCTCCAATCCACATGCTAGCGCCTAACGACTTTGAGAACATTGTCAATTACCATCTCCTTCTCTAGTTGCTTCAACATGAGGGAGGTTGATTTTCCGATGTAGGTAAGTTTTCTATAAATATTTGACATTCTTGAGTCTAGACATAATATTTGCCTAACAAGATAATAACTTTAGGAATAGGATAGGGCCTTTGAAAAAGTTGCTTGAAGTTAGAGTTATGGCCTAATTAAACTCCTTCACCATATTGGAACCATAGACGTTCATTATTGAAACAACCAGCCCCTACACTACACTACACACAAACACACACACACACACAAAATCCTAACGCGAAAATAAAAAATAAAGAAAAGATGGCAAATATACAAAATTAAGGAGAGATGCTATGATCCCGTTACGGAACTATTCCGTCGGTACTTGTAACCGTTAGATCATCATGAAACTATCGGTAATAGTTGATCTAATGATTACAAACCCCGACGAAATAGTTCCGTATGGGACCGTAGCATTTCCCATCTCCAAGATTGAACACTAAAAGAAAAATACAATTCAAAGACCAATAACAAATATAAGACAACAAATGAATCATCCATAGATAGTGAAAATTAATATATGTACAATCAAAAAAAAAAAAAAAAAACTAGTAAACTTATAAATAAAAATGAATTAATATATAGATGTAGTAATTATACATTGAATACATTCTTAAATAGATGGGGCTCGTTTGCCGACTTCTTAAATGGTTACACAAAAGGAAAAGAAATCAATACACACGTTGTTTAAATTGTTTAAATGTGTTTGTGGGCTGATTGAATTTTCTCAAAACCTGTATTCCATAACAACAGGCCGACATAAATTTTCACAACATACCTAAACTATCTATGAGGCCCACTTTCTGCCCTTCACAACACAAGTTCGACTTGTCACCATAATTTGCCAAGAAATTTGTCCTTGTACTTTTCTTCTATACAAGACAGTATGAGAAAATATAAAATATGCAGCATATGAAATAAAAAACATTTTTTTCAATATTTCAAAAGAAAAGGATGTGAGCATATAACAAAGAAAAGCAAACTCTCGAGCGAAAACTCGAAAAAGCCATCATCGGGTATAATCCATTTCAACATCTTCTCAACTCAAAGTACCTCAAAACAGGTCAATCGTATATTAGTGATAATACTAACATACGCACACGATATGATCGATCCAAATGATACGATAACAACATTTTTCTTCATGAAGTTAAAAAATAAAATACATTAATAAAGGATTATGCATCACGTGCATAGGACAAAGCAAAAGATGATGGGAGAAAAATATGCAGCTTAGATAAGATGGTGGGCTCATCCAAACACAAAGTCGAGCAAGGAAAAGTATTTTAATCACTTCACATCATGTGCTCATTTTCCCTACAAGATAACTCATAGCCACAACACACCAGCAATGCTGTCAGCTAGCTAGCGGTTGTCACAAAAATCAATTTAGATACTTATGAGGCCCAGTGAAATGATGGCTTGGCTTTACAATAGGCAAAGGGAGAAATTGCCGAGCAAAACGGATATGATTGCAATAATGCAATAGATACAAAGAATAAATAAAAGATGTAGCTTGAAATGTTCGTTTTTCTATTTGTTTCCATTATTATTAAACAAATATCTAATGCAGGTGGAAGCATAATTACAGTTTTAACTAATTACAGGTGAACAAAATTTGTATTTTTCAAAGGTTGAGCCGCTCGTCGAGCGGCTCGAAATATGCGGTAAAATACTTAAATACCCTTTATATATATTTGACGAGCGGCTC